TAATTTTTTTTTTTTTTTTTTTTTTTTTTTTTTTTTTAATTGTCTTGAAATGTTTACATGTTCTAGTGTAAATCGTGTACATAAAAAAACACAACACGTAGTTTTGAGGGAGGAAATAAAATAAATTTAAAAAGTTCATTGTGGTAAAAATAAATTTGATCTAAGCAAGTTTTTTCTTCTTCCAGATTTGTAAAAAGTCCTTAGGGGATAGAAAATATGAATATTATTTTCGAAATATTTTTTAAAAGTTTAACTTCGCAGGCCTGTGTTATCAATCCATCGAAATACATACAACAGTTTACCTGATGCAGCTTTGCAAAAAACATAAAATAAATTAAATAACTGGGTTAAACCAATTATCGAACGAAGCGTGGGAAAAATCTTAAGGGGGATTATTATAAGCAGTTACGATTACAGTTCCGTTTTTCTGTATAGAGGGAGTTCTGCCTTAATCGAAGTATTAAGTTCGTGCAATAAACGAAAATTAAAGTTCGCATGCATCTTTAAAAACATAAGTTACATTTGGTATGAAAATGTTAAACTAATCAATTAGGAATTATGAACAAAATTTAAAAACAAAGTTATGAAATTAATATTAATACCGACCATACATTATGTAAAGCCAACAAAATGGGTTCCGTTGTAGAGATAAGTCTAGAAAGTTGCATACCTGTATAGCCTGATGAAGTTTTTCTGCAAAATAACGTGGCATGTTCTCCACACATTTCACTGTAAAAGGAAGTCAAATAAGTTAGAATGCCGCTTACAAGAGATGTAGCTATTATATAATATTTTAAACTGGTTTTCTTAATATTACCTACAGGTATCTACACTCTTCATTAACTCTCCCTCGTCATATTTCACAGTTGTCATAAATGTTAGATATTTTGGGAAATTTTTATACAAATTGGCCATGTAAAATAAACTTGAAGTCACTAAAACTGCACGCGAGATGATTAATTCAAGCACTCACCAAACGAAAGCATTCCTGCCCTCAAATCTCCGGACAGTTCGCTGTCGATAGCAGACAAGATGGACTGACCAGTAAGCCGTTTGTACTCCCAGAATACCATGCGCAGATGATCGTAGCTTCGGGAGGACATGATAGAATTTAAAGCACAGTTTTCTGTTCCCAAATCCTTCATATTACTTTGTAGGGCCTAAAAACGTTGTACACAAAATACGCGAATCTTCTTTATTTATATTATAGGTAGTTAAAGAACGAGAGAAGCTTAATCGAAACGAGTATTTAAAGTTGGAGAAAAATACGATAAAACTATGAAATAAGATATCTTGACAAAGAATAAATTTGACTTGCCCGAACTCAACAAGATCGAGATTGTGCAATTAAGATATTAGACAACCAAGTTATTCATCCTCATCGTGAAAAGCCAGTGTTTTTTTTTTCCTATTTGTTTTATTATTATTAACTTCGGTATTCTACTGTTTCTTCAAAATCTTTCTACTCTCC